AGATATGGGGAATTATCACCAGAATTTTCAAGTTTTACAACATACAAGAAAAAGCCTCTTATGTAGATGCAGGAAACAATGAAAAGGAAAATAGAGGCCAGAAAAACAATTTTGCAATGTACGCAAAAATCTTTAGAGAGCATAGATGGTAAAAATAGAAACCAGCATGATCGGCAACATTGACTCTTGTTTATGGTTAATTGCAGAGAATGGCATAATTTGAAGGGTCACAAAACTAGAAACAACAAACTGCAACTTGATCAAATTTTGCTAATGGAAGAGAAAGGGAATGAGATTGTTCGACTCAGGGTTTTAAATATCAAGTGTACACTCTCTCTACACTTCCGCCGCAGCTGTAGCCTCCACAATAGTAAGACATTATATCCCTAACATATAATTTAGGCATACATCAAAATACAAATATAAAGGTGATCAATTAATTAAAAAAATGCTAAAAACAAACATAAGGATTGAAATCACAAGCGATGGGTTGCCTCTTCTACGCACAGTTGGCAACGGGTTGATGAGAGGAACACCGAGGGAAACCCACGATCCTTGTTGTCGGTGATGGATCAACGAGAGGGACGCCAAGAGAAACCCACGAGAGAGGTCACCGGTGATAGGCGACGGGTTCTTGAGGGTGGGAGGGGCACGAAGCGTGTGCGGTGATAGACGACGGATCGTCGAGGGAGCGATCGCGCAGGTAGCCGACGGCGTACGTCGCACAATGGGGGCAAGGTCATGGGGTGCCAAGGGTGTGCATCGCACGACGACGGAAGCAGGCTCGAGGCACTAGGGTAGAGCCGCAGCGACACCATTACAACTGCAATATGGCGTTTTGCCTCTTCCCCTACTGTTACTGTTCAGTGAATCTGATTTTGTTGTAATATGGTATTCTAAATATGCTTTCACCTTCCGTTGGCATTCGCAGACCTTGCCTTCCACAAAAATTCCTTGATTTCACATCTCCCCCAAACTCCCGAGGGCCACGATTTAACACCGACGATCCTCTAAGTTCGGCGAGAAATCCCTAAATTCCTCCAGCTTCCCCCATCCTCAAGTGAAGGCCATGCGACAACGCTGCATGCGAGCGTCATGCAAGGAAGGGTGCGGGAGATGTCCAACACGAATACATTGTGTCCCAAAAAAATAATAATAATAAATAAATAAATAAATAAGACACATATCATATCGTGTCGATGACGTATCCATGTCGGACAACCAAAACGACGTGTCCGTACTTCCTAGGGTGGCACCATCATGTACCGAGTGCTAGTACAAAGGTCCATAACGAAATCATATTGGTCCAGCCATCAACCAGAATCGGCACTCGACCAAGTTTTTAAACCTTGGTTTGACTTTCCTAAATCAATATTGCACAATGAAAAGATGCATGCTTTTTAACAAATTGACATGTAATAGTGATACTAATTACTAACTAAAGAATAATCAACAATTTCTTGGAGATCAATGTGATTACCTTAACACAAATCAAATTCGTTTGACTACAGTGGGGTTGTCAGTCAACACAAACTTAAAAAGATTGTACTATCACTATCATGTAATGGAAGTTAATGACAGCTATTAGAAGTTGCATTAGCAAATCTTGAAGGCATTACAATCATCTCTTCCTAAGTTGTTGATTGCTTTGATTGCTTAATTTGGTGAATGACAATTTAATTGCAGACAGTTCCTTCTTCAGAGTGATTTACAAATAATTCAATCAGTTGTTTGACAAACTCATTATCCATCTGAATTGAACCATTTAAAATGAAACTGGAAAATGGCTTATTGAGTGGGTTAAGACCACAAGAAGGCATGCACAAGGAGACTTACTTGAAATCACTACTCCACTATCTTCATTGTCATATACAATTGCAGCTTTGAACCCAGCATTTTGTGCACTTCTGACTTTAGCATCAAACGTACATCCTCCTCTTATGATCAATGCAAATGGATTCTCTGAACCTCCACCAACTTGATTTGTTAATGGACCACACGCATCCAGAGGTTCTGCAACGTATAATACCCCGCATTCACCAGACCTTTTGATTGGTCGAGCTGAACATCCAAACAAAAACAAGAACTTAGCTGCGACTATATGTGAGAACAAAGAAACGAGAACTATGAAGCGTGATTCTTTAATATTCATTATGATCAAGGAGGACCTTGGAAAAACACATCTTTAACTGACAAAATGATGGAATCAACATAACAACCAATTAGTTCACAAACTTGATAGGCTGATATCAATCCTATGTGCACGCTAATGAAAAGGTCATCTGACTTAAATTATCTGGGCACAAGTTTCCTTTTCGGAGATTTTGGAGAAACCTGTTAAATTGTAAGCACGAAATTGTTCGAGAACAAGGATTGTTACAGTTATATTTGGCAATATCACTAGAAAAGAAAAGCAAAAATCATATGCTTTAAACCATTAACAAAATACAAAAACAGGAAACGATAACATCAAGAATGGAAGAGTTCACCTCATCAATTCAAAGGGGGTTCTATGTTACAAAGATATGTGACCTATTTGCAAAACCAGAAAGCAGAAGCTATTCGAAGTTTCCATGGAAACCGTCATAACCAAGACCAACGCATTTATAAAAACCAAAGCTTACGCACTCACCGAAGTTTGCCTCAACATCAGGGAACGACAATGACACATTTCTCCCGATCAGCACCACGTTCCCAGCCGCCGAACCAACCAGCAGACCAAGAAGAACGAAGGTAAATAGCACATACTTCCTCAGAAACTCATGCTCCAGCAAACCCATCTCGGATTGGCCACACGCCTCAAACAAATCAAGCGAACTCTTTAACTTGGTGGACGCAAATCAAAAGCGAAAACAACCAAAGAAGGTGTTTTCGCGACCGGGAAGACAAAACGAACCACCAAATCCAACTCTTTCCGCAGAAGGAAAGGATCTTGCTCACAAAGAAGGAAGAAAAACGGGGGAAAACGAGCTCCAAGAGGGGGAAAAGGCGGGGAAAGACGTCACCAGAGAAATCTGGGCGACGGCAAGATCAAGGTGGAGGCGAAGGATCGAGACATCGGATTCCATGAGAAGGCGTTGGATCGAAAGGAGACCGAACCAGAGCAGCTTAAGGCGGGGCGGCGAGCATGGATCTCCTGGCCGCGTCGAGCCTATCCACCCGGCGAGGGCGCCCCTAGAATCCGCCAATCATGGTATTTTCCAGCTTTCAAGATTTATGACCGCACAAGATCAACCGCATATATACATATACACGTATATTTAATTCACGTACATAAATAGGTGGAAAAGGGCATACTTCTTTCCTCGTTTAGAGATAACATTTATCCAACCAAATTTCAATAGTAGTATAGGATAATTTTTCTGAAAACCCCTCTTTTTTAAAAAAAATATATCTTTATTTTTATTTTTCTTGGATGATACCTTTATTTTCTATAATCTTAAAAATATCCCTTAACGTTTTCCGCTAATCGTCTCCATCACTTTCATCTCGTCACATTCGCTTGCTACGAGTCTCCACTATGAGGCTTTATTGTCTATCATTCTTTTTACTCTTCCCGAACATCACTCTTCACATCTTTACTTTTCTTAACAATCTCTTCGGCCTTCCTTAAGCCCTAGGACCTCATTTGTCGTTGGGTCATTGGCTTGACCTCCTTTGCCTCATCGATGCCTATAGTTTATTTCGCTCTATTCATGCTTCTGCAATGATCTCAGTAATCTTTAAGTCCAACTCGAACTCTCATGCTCAAAACAAGGATATGATGAGTTCCTTGATTATCGAAGCAAGTTGGGCAATCTTTTTCTCCACCCTATAATGGGATCGTGTTGCAAATGTAAATCGCATGGGGTTGTGGCACTGAATGACAACACAAGCCTTAGAGAAGTGTTGCTTGAGGCCAATGATGCTGGAGTGTAAGGAGTCATGTGCATCAATGAGGTAGAGGAAGTCATTGAGAAGACGATCGACCCATTTGGGTCGACAATAAAGGGTGTCATGAACTTAGGAAAGGCGAAGGAGATCACTAAGAGTAGTGTCGAGACGGAAGGCAATGTTAAAAGCATGAGGTAGAGGCCATGGCAAGACGAAGGTGACGAGTGGGGAAGGATCAATGCTATTTTCAAGATTTCATAAAATAAAGATACCATATGAGAAAAATAAAAGCATTGATACTTTATGAAAAACAAAAAAGAAATTTTTTTTCATGAAAGTCACCTTATAATATATATTTAAATTTTTATGCCACTCACAACTAATAGCTGTCACCATCAGTGAGATTTAAAATATTAAAATTTAAAATAATCTTGAATATTTTCATTAAAAAAATTAATTTCAAGCAAAAAGTACTAATATATAGAAATGTAATATCAATTGCTTTGATTTAACAATCAACCATGAAAATTAATTGCATTGATAATTATATAAGTATTATAATCTATAGGAACATATACGTGACACTTCAATTTGGAGGGATATAAGGTGGCGTTTGGTTCATTGGATATGGTGGGATATTCTTCGGTGCCCGAGAAATGAAAAAGGACTCGACATCGGAGCATCCACTCGTTGTTGGACCCAAAGTCGCCGCCGATAAGATTGCACGAATCTCAAACGATCTTTTATTTTGAATAAAAAAACCATAAATATCATCAATTAATTCTGATAAGATTAAATACGTATGGTTGAGATGAGAAGTAGAAAACCGGACACATGATTTGAAGTAAACGAACGCGGCCCACTAAAACTTACCGATCAAAATACGCCTCTCTGATGGGACCCTCGTCGGTCCCACCGGGTTCTCCTTTGGGTTGACGGCGATGGCGATCTAAGAATGCGGAGAGCAGTCCAAAGAATGAACGGCTGGAATGTGGGGATCGTTGATCTGTCTGTTTGTGGCTGTAAGATTCTCAATCGCCTTCTTCGTCCAACGTCGGACACGGAAGGAAGCAACGTGGACCTTTCGAGCACGCAAGAGTCGGACGTTGGCATGGAGGCTTCTCATGGCGAATGACAAGAAGGATCCCATGGAATGAAAGTGAAGTTACGTGAGTGCAGCAGTGTCCTTTTTCTTGTACACATATGCTTGCGCACAGTGGAGGTAGAGAACCAACTCGAGAATACTGAGCCCCGCGAGAAGCCAGTAGAAGTAATCAAGATGAGCGCGGTTGAGATTGTTGGAAAACCAAGTCTCTCCCATTACGCCAGTTATTTTGTTGATCGCAGAGATCATGAATCCGTCGATGAAGCTGCCGACGCCGAAGATGCTCATGAAGAGGGCCACCCCGAGACTCCTCAGTGCATCAGGGACTTGGTCGTAGAAGAACTCCAGCAACCCGGTTACCGAGAAAGCATCCGCCACGCCGGAAAGAACGTACTGAGGCACCAGCCACCAGATGCTCAGTGGAATGGTTGCTTCGGGCTGATCCACCAGGCCGAACTCTCTCGCAGTTCGGAGCCTCTTCGTCTCCACCAGGGCTGCCACCACGATAGAGATCAGAGAGATCACCTTTCCGATGCCGATCCTCTGAAGCATCGTGATGCCAGAAGGAAGACCTGTGAACCTTCTGGCTGCGGGCACGAGAAAGCGATCATAGATGGGAGTGAAAGCGGCGGCGGAGGCACTGATAAGGCTTAGCAGCGCCGCTGGTGGCACTCGAAAGTTCGAGCTGCTGATGCTCCTGTCCAAAGTACTGGCTTGCTTAGTGAAGAAGGTGGATGGCTGGTTAAGCACGGCGGCGTAGATCAAGCACGTCGCCCATGTGGGGAACAGTCGAAGCAACCTCTTAGCTTCCTCTACATCTCCAACACTGCATGCCCACAAACCAATCTTCGTTAGTCCAAAAGAAAAGATATTGTCGACAGATAACGGGGCAGTATTACTCAGATTGGTGACGTTCTGTGTCTGCTTCGGCCGTAGTTCTTGCCAATGCAACGAGTGTTTTGCCGATACGGGCGAAGGGGCTCAAATCTTTCGGCGACGACAGCGCCCAGGAAGGGCAGCAGACACGCCACTCCCTTCCACGTGCTGATAGCGGCCGCAGCTGTCGCCGTCGGCTCATTGAGCGGGCCGGTGAGGTAGATTATCAGGTTGGAGGACAACCCGAAGAAGGCGAACCGCTCGGCAACCTCCACCACTGCAAGCCACGAGTCGAGATCAACCGGACGGCCGAGATCGAGGAGGAAGTGGGGGGGGGGGGGATCGATACCTATGATAAAGAGGGCGGAGGTCCAGCCGCCAGTGGCGGATCTGGAGGCGGGACGGCCGAGGTAGTCGACGACGCCGACCATGAGGTCGGACGGGTGGCGGTGGAGGCTGAGGAGCGGATCCGTGGCCATGGCCCCGACGATACCCGCTCTCCCTTCCTTTTCGTTCGTCCCAGACACCAAGAAGTGATGGCAGCCGCCTCTGATGTGTGGAACGGGGGAGGTACAGTTCTTATCTGGTGGTTGAGGGTGACAGTAGACCCAACTGATGCGTGCAACGAAAGCGGAATTAATCTTATCCGTTAAATTTAATTACTTTTAAAAATATTTTATATATCATAAATTATCACATGACAATATATCTTTATATATATCTATCAATAAAAAAATATTAACTTTTAAAGAAAAATATGAAATGATATATTTGATTTAATTTAATCATAAATATTTTGCTTAACCTATAAAAAGGGTATGAACATTGTAACACAAATTAATCACAAATGAATAAATGAATTCATTTTTCACCTTAAATGTGACTAGTGTAAGATCCAGTGGGGAGGGGTGGTGATAGATTTCTTAACTTATGGAAACCTACCACGAGGAAGCATCATAAGCTTGCTTCTTTTCCCTGTTGGGTGGCCAGTTTAGAGTACATCAGCCTGCATGAAAGAAGGAGTGTTTGATTAAGCTTTAAAAGGTAAGAGCTCTAATGTCTTGCACCATCTTTCTTAGGCATGTGGAAGAGTTGGAAGAATCGATGTGATGGACAACTGAACCATCCAAGAATGCAGTCGCCATTATTAGGTCGAGGAAAGCCTTCTTTGTATTTGGCTGGCGGCGGCACCTATCTAAAATATCATTTGCCCCTCGTGCCGAGATGTTCTATTGGTTCATCATCATCACCTGTCTACTCTCTCTCTCTCTCACTACATCAGCCCACCGATTCGAATTATTATACATTTATCACAACAAAATCCTCATTAATTTTTCAAATATTTATACTTAAGTTAATGATAATATACTCATAAAATTATTTAATTTTTCTCGCTTTTGAAATGAGGCTAAATTATGGGTATTGTGATTTATGTGCAACGGTAAATCCAATTATGGGAAAAATAAAGGGAAAACTGTTCGTTATTTCAGCATCCCAATCATACTCCCTTCTCACAACAACTCCTAACAAAAGCCCTCTCTCCCTTCTTCTGTTGTTTTTTGGATCCCCTTCTTTCCCATCTCTTCCTCACTTTCTCTCCCCCTCTCTCTCTCTCTCTCGACTCCCGTCGCCCGCTGTCAAGCTTTTGGCACGCCACAAGGTCAGCTTCCTCCAATCTCCTCCCCACCTTTTCTTCTTCTTCCTTCCTTCGCGGTATTTATTCAGTCGAAAAAGAAAAAGAAAGGAACGCCAATTTCTTTCTCTTTCGTGTGCACGCGAGTGCGTCAATCAACAAGGGAAGTCATTCGGGCGATTTGCCTAACGTCGAATTGGTTTGCCTGCAACGATCGCCGTCGCCGCCTTTCCCGTCTCCTCTTGGCGGACGCGGAGTTGGTTCTTGATTTGGTGTGTTCTTGTTCGGATTGGCTTTGTCTCCGTCCGTATTGCGTGAGATCTGTTGATTGAGTTGTTCGCATAGTCGTCTTGACTTCCTGCGGTTTTGGTTTCTTTTGATCGTCGTTATTATTATTGTTTGTGAAATTGGTTGCGTGCGATGGCTGCTTCCTAATGGATTCGTGAAAAAGAAAACTGCGTCGTGGGTGAAAACTCGATATCTGAAATTATGAACGGGGAAGATACTTATATACAACTTCAGACCTAGAATGATGGGAAATAAAAGGATGGATAGTAAAAAGAGAATTGTGCAAAAGGATTTGAACTAAATGCAGTCGTGAATTGCATCATGTTTACCAAAGAATTCTTTAATCTGGTTTTTTATGTCTTCAACCAAATTGGCTAGATAATTTACTGTCTTATAAATCAGTTTGAATCTGCTTATCCTAACAGGATACCTGTTGATGTTTTCTTTTTTCTTCTTCTTTGGCTTTAGATAAAGTTATAAGCAATATGAAGCTTAATTTTTTTGGGCTCCAGGAGGATGTTAAAAAAGAATCTTCATTTGATGAGATTGTGACTATTGTCATCAGTTTTCTTTGGTTTCTATCATACCACATGTACAATTGATGTTCATTAATATGTTGATACCAAATCATGCTTGTTGTGATTTCATTTTGGTGAAGATTTACACAAGTGATCGAAGGTGCGACGAAGAACTTTTTTACATGCATCGTTACGTTGAAGGATTGATTGCAAAGTTAGTTAGTTTTTCCAACTCTAGTTAGCACGATTGCATCACTATTCAGTAATTTATGTTGGTAATCCTTTTCTCTCTGTTTTCACTTTCTGACAGCTTGAAGCTACCAAGTAAAATTTTTTGGTATACTATCACAAGTTTGAAAGTTGTGCATTTTCTGGAACCATGTCTGTTTGTTGGTATAACACTAGTTTATAAATGATGCTATAATTTACTTTTCATGTGGACAGAACCTATTTATTTGTGAATTTCATCCTCACTGTGCTTATTTGTGTTGTTCTTTCTTTTTTATTTTTCCTTTTACTTCTTTCTTCCTTTAAGTTTGTGATACCTTAGTTTTAGCAGATATGCTTCTAGTTTATATTAGATTGAGACTCATAGATCCTTGACTTTTAGGACACCGTACCAAATTTTTTCTTGGTGTTGGCTTTTTGGGAAAGCGTTGTACGGTCATAGTGTGTTTTGTTGGAATACATACTGATTTGAAAGTGTCTGAGATCATAGGCACGTGGATACAAAACATAGACCTAGTTAATTAGTTTTCCCTTGTTTATTTATCATGTGCTTTATGGGTTTACCTTATTATCGAAGCTTGTTGAGCACCATCGGTAAGACTTTAGAATGAAGTTCCTATATTTTGGAGATTTTTATGAGCTCTATCTGATTATCATGGTCTAAATTTATCTCAGTCAATTATGTTCGAGTCCGAAATGTATTTGTTCCATTGAAACCCTATCAAGAGTTGAACACTGTAGAACTGTTTATCTACTGTATTTGGGATTAATTGTGCATTATGAGGGAATTTAGAAATTTGGTTAATTCATCCAACTTTTTTATGGATTTAAAAGAATTTTAAGTCTTTGAAGGGTCTGACCTTGCCTGATTGAAATGCATACAATGGCATACAAGTCGAACAATTGGGTTGTAGGGACAAATAATGAGTTAGAAAGACAAGACTACATGTATGTTATTTATGGTCTGGCACAATGTGTTGACTGATGGTGGGCCACTAAAGTTTCCATTATCTAATTACAGGTTTACATGCAGAGAAGCATTTCGAGGTAGAAAGTAACATTATGTAATTGACGAGAACTAAGAACAAAGATCAAGAGCGACATGTGGATGGTTTGAAAAGGAAGAGAACATGGCTAAAATTAGAAATATTATGAGTCTATTTGTTTTTTCCTTTCAATGAACTGAATACACTGGAAATAATTGTGTTAGATATTCTTATCATTTATTGTTTTATCGATTTCTATGTAAATGCTCTCTGATGATTGCCCTATATGTAGGACAGGTGCTGCTGTGGTGTATCTCAACCATGAGCTTGGCATGTCTTGTGTGTCATAGCATGGATAGCCCATCACGATCTTTCAGGAGCTACTCTGTTTCAAGTTCAGAAGATGAAGGGCAATGTGCTGCAGTTGTTTCCTGCTTGACTCGGAAGGTAACCATCGCTGCCACGGGCAGAGCCAACGCCATATCAACATCCAAAGTGACACCATTCCCCCTGATGGCAAGCAGGCAAGGGATGGGAGAAACCCCACGCCTTCTACGAAGCCGGGCTGTGAGTAGGGACCTAGTTAGAGACTGGAACTTCGATCAAGTTCATGTGGAGGGGTAGAGGTGTAAGAGATCATAACGGTCGTAAGAGGGAGAGATTGTTAGCTTGGCCACTGGGGTGGCCGCCGTTGTATATTTTGCTTCATCCACTGCATTTCTAGTACACTTTTTTATGGTTAGTTCTACAAGTCTCCATGAGCAAATTGGCCATCATAAAGTATTTTGCTTGCGCTAGTTGCTTGCTTTCTTATGGTTCATGTACTCAACATCCGAAAAATGGAACTTGTGTTGCTGTCTTGTTGGTTGTTTCGAAAACATATTCAAACTTATCGGTTGGGTATACTTTTGTAGGGCAGCATCATCATCAGGAGAGGCTGCTGCTATACTGCTGTGCTATCGAGTAGGGTGATAGAGCCCCCAGAAACCATGTATGACAGGTTTGATGATCATAATTTTACCTGCTCGACTGATTACTTCTCTGATGATTATTATGATGATGATGTTGATTGTTGTTAAGGAACAATTAAGCACAAAATCTTATTTCAGGGCAGCTGTCATTAGGGAAATTGGAAAACTCATTTAGAGGTGAGTTTTACCAATAATGGTCTTTATAAATCTGGTACTAGTTTATAGTGTAGCAACTTTTTTTATTCTGTGTACCCGATAGGTTTCACATCTGTTGCCGAATGATCATTATCTCACAAGAAATTCCAGTGAAGGATGAAGAATTTCATTTAAAGGAATAAAAACCGACTGAAGTAAAGTACAGAAATAAAAAAACAATGTCTATTAACACCTTAAAAAATTAGTGAGTTTAGAATCATGACATGTATGAATAGGATTTTTTTTTCTTGTGAGTTTGGTTTTTAAGCATGGTTATAAAAAAATCTGGATTTGATCGATCGTTTGGAACAATAAAAAATTTAAAAAATTATTTTCTACGTATTACCGAAGATATTTAAAATTTTATACGTGCATATAATTTTTCTGATTTGTAAAAGAATGGGAGAAGAAAAATTTCTATCTTAAATTTATTTATCTGTCTCACCAACTCTTTACAACTGTCTACTTTTCTTTTTTAAAATAATAGAGATATCAATGGGATGGGATGGGATGGGACGGGATGAGGAATGCTTTCACATCTTCATCCTTGTCTCATCTCGCATTATTCATCTTTGCTCATTTTGATGGGACACGACCGGAGATAGGGAATCTCGATTGGGTGAGAGAATCCACGAGTTTTTTCCTAATTAATTTATATACTTTTTTTTAAAAATAAAGTTATTATCAAACTTAATTAATAATATTAAAATTTATACGTAACAAAAGATAAATATATTTAAATATAAATAGAATCAAAATTACCATAATGTATAAGAGAGGTAAGCGAAAGATGGAGGAGGATCGATAGAAGACATAGGGAGGGGGCGAGGGTTGCAATGGTTAACGAGGTGAGGCCATGGGGTGGGCGAGGACGACTGCGATGGAGGGGTGGGGGGGCTACAATAGTTACGATGAAGGAGGAAATCGAGAAGAGGGATGAGAGAGAAAAGACTGCCATGGGAAGAAAAGAATATTGAGAAATCACTATCATCGATCGGAGAAATCATCATTTGCCAATGGGGAGAGGAGGATCAATGAAGACAAAGTCAAACGATCATCGCGACATCACTTGCGATTAGGGATTGTATACACTTAACGCATGAGCCTACGAGAAGAAGCTTGCAATCATCGATCGTCGGAGAAATCATCATTGGCCAATGGAGAGAGGAGGATCAATGAAGACAAAGTCAAACGATCATCGCGACATCACTTGCGATTAGCGATTGTATACAATTAGCGCGTCGACCTCTGAGAAGAAGCTGTTAGTATTGGATGAGAAGATATTTCTTTTGATTTAATTGAATCATATGGTTCTTAATTGATTCAATCAAGGTTTATCTAGCCTAATTTGAATGATGAAAGCATTAGTGTTTGGGCATAATATATAAACCCACATAGTTTTCCTATCCCCATCTCATTAAGGGTGAGTCCCTCGCGAGGAACCATAGTCACGCGTATAAACGACATCCCTAATAAATTATAAAGATGAGAATCGAGTTCAAGACCTTATGATAAAATTATATTATATATTTCATTTACATCATTCTTTTTTCATTATATAAAAAATATTCTAGAATTAAATATTTTTTTTAATATAATCATTACGTCGAGGTGGGTCCCACCGATTCAAACTAAAAAAAATGTGAATTGTTATTCTGATTTTGATAACTATAAATCCCACATGAATACTTCAATCAGACAAATAAAAAGTCAAACATAAGATTATAACCCCAACGTATTTTCGAGAGATCAAGAACAAGATGATGAGATACTCCCAACCGAAAAAAAGACTTGGAATGAAATCCTTACACAAGTAATATGTAAATTTAAGGCTTTATTATCAATAGAATTCATGGATAAAATTTTAGTTGAGAAGTCAACAACATTTAAGACATAATCTCAATGCACTCCTTAAAGCCATGACTAATATAATAAGAGGAACATGCGAAGGATTAAGTGGGTCATAAAAATAATGAAAATCTCATGAATTAGCTGGCAATTCAAAATGAGACAAGATGTGGTCTGAATAATTCCTACAATAAAAGCAATTGCTATTATTGTCTCGGGGAGAAAATTGCATATGTGAAAATACAACATGAAATGTGGCCAAAATAAGTCCTCGAAAGCAAATTTAGTATCGACGGATACTGGCAGGTGTCCTAGACTTGAAAAGTTCATATGACTCACTGTAATCGCCGAGTAACAACAACAAGTATCAGTTAAACAGGAGACTCAAAACCCGAAATTAGCTCGAAGCAAAATCATCTAGCAAGATCTAGAAACATTGCATCACGAACAAAATCAACTTAACTAAGTAGAAGCATAATACCATTCGTGTGATGATTCCGGTTTACCCATCGGAAAGGAGGGCAACAAGCCACAGTAACTTGTGCGATATAAGGCATTCTAGCGACGCAGCATCTTTAGTCTTGGCCCTGCCTTCTTCAGTTGCCGAGCACGTTCCTTGTCTTCTTTCTTGCGGAGTGCCTCCGCACTAAGTTTGGCCTCAATCTCTTCCATTATCTTCTTCTTTTCCGCCTTCTTCTTCTGCAATGCTTCCTGTCTCGCGTTCTGGAGTTCTTTATATGCCTCCTGGGCCGCCTTTGCTCTAACAGCTTCTGTTTTTGAGCGAGCCTGAAGCAAAGGTAGAACACAGTGTCACAATGATCGACGACTTGTGCTGATAACAAATATTCATGAAATCACAGTTCGCTTACATGAGAGCTTAGTTTGTATCGGCCTATCAAGTCAATGTAATATGGTACAAGAGTAACCAATCTTGACATGTCAGATATGTTCTTGGCATCTGGAAGCACAAACTTGAACATGAGAATCTTCTTGTGAGATCCTGGGCTTTGATCCGAGAAGTGCAGTGAGACAAACCACTTTCCAAACTTCTCAAATGCTTTGTCGCCAAAAACCTAAGGGTGACAACCATAGCAATGGAAGTTAGGACAATTTAGCGACGTTCACCAACAAGCGATGCTTCATATCAAAGGTAAACACAGCATCAACTGAAGTAATTAAGCCACTTAGCAGGCAAGCTGTCCGCAAACTTAGCAAAAACTTGATGATGGTAACTGAAATAAAAGCACAAATGCCTGGTAATTCTTTCTCACAAAGAATGCTAGATAATTAAAGAATGCAATTTACAAGAGAATGAACTTTGGAAGCTGTTGTTTTCTGCCATCATATTTTGCTAATCAATATAATAAGTAGAGTACATGGTTTACAGAATCTTCAAATGTACAAGAAGTTCCATCAAAAAATTGACAATCTTAATTATTTCATTTTAAGGGATTTTATGGTAATGAAATCATCATAAATTTGGAACACTGGTCCAAGTGCATCAGAAACTAACATTCAGTGACATATTTCCTTGATGATGTTAGGTCGAGATCTATCAGGTATGACAAAGCTCAAGTCTAGAGACTGATCATATGGATTACTGAATCGGCTAGGTCTCCAAAAGATACTGGAAAGGATGCAATAGAACTCGAATCACAAACATAAGATCCTTCAACTTGTTTTTCATACCTTTTGACCCAGATGGCAGGGCAATATCCTGAATTATTAACCTCTTCACATGTAAGACCCCACATCTAGCACTGTATACACTCAACTATTAGTCTAGAGAGGCACCTAACCAACAAATATTCCCACCATTTATCCAACCTTGACATACATAAAGTTCATCACCAGTACGAAAATGATTCAAACACACATCAACTGTTCTCATATGCCTCTGCCTTCTCAATACAAGTTAGTTGACAAGAATATATCAACTTTATTAATTTATAAAAGATTTGACAATTCAAGTGCTCTCACATCGCAGAATTATAAATATATATCAGTTAAACATACATAATGCCGATCCAAATACTAGAAGATATGCAGAACCTCACAGTGTAGCTGCTACATGCATCTGTTACCTAAAAGATCCTGTTCAGCTCAGAAATTATCACAGTCTATGTCTTCTACCAGAAGGCCAAAACATCCAAATAAGTTTATGGCGCCTTTTACCAAAATCTACAAGATATTTCTACATCTCATGCTCTTCTCACATCAAAAATTAGTTCCTGTGGGCTTCTGGCTGCTTGCTAAGAATTTTAGATAGATCTTCAATTCAGACTATAGGTGCAAGCTAAAGTTTCTAAGTGATGAAAATCAAGTGATGTTACTAGTTTGCAGAGAGCAAAAGATGACTAAAAGGATATTCCATTTTCCTTCTTTTTTCTTTACTTGGTGAAATATGTAGGGTTCAAGGGATTGAATAATGATCTCAATGATGCAAACCAACATGGTACATTCAGTTATAAGTTTAGCCCAAAGCCCAAGGACATGATACACTCACTATATATGTATTGATAATCTTAGCCAAAAGCATAGAGACAACACATGCCAAATCTTGAGAATACACATCTCCAAGAAAGTGACAAAGCAAATGATCTTCCAATGCGCCCAAAAAGGTTGTTTCACTACAAGAATTTTAAAATATATTTTCATGATTCATAACCAACAAAGTTTGAGATGCTCTTTGCTTTGCTGGAATAAGTAGATCATAAGTTACATCAATACATACGCAATCATTGACACCATTCTCATTTACAATATACTACCTAGAAGGTCTCGAGTCTGACAATACTGTACTAGAAGGTATTGCAAAAAGACAATACCTGCTAATACAATTGCTTCACTGATTTTTAAAATGAAGGAAAAACAATCATGTCATAACAGGCCATGTAGCATGTTTGGAGAAAATGTCACACAATCTTAAAGGGATCTCACATACACAAAAGGAAACCTCTGCCATAGTGTTTCAAATTATTACAAAACAGAACAGATAACTGAAAGCAAATGTATAGGATGTCATCTTTCTCCAATTTAATTTATGAAAGAAAACTAACTACTAGCTATCATATCAGCCCTATTTATTTGAGAGACTAAATTTAAACAATATTTATTGAGTAGCATCAACTATGGAAAATTTCAACATCCAAACACCGCACTTAATGAAAATAAGAAGCAAACTTCATGTGCGTTGAGTCAATCAATTAAGGCTCCACGTACAATCTAGCAAGTGACATAAGGTTTAGAATGAAATATTGGTAGCAAGCATTCTAAATTTTGCTGTTTTCATGAAATTGAAGTGGTGAGAGTACTAATCCTGAAAATCCTTAACTCCATTTCCTTTCCAATGAATAAGTTTAGCAATTAAATACTGACTAGATAAACATAGAACAGTTATAAGATAGGGAAAATTTTATTTTTATTCCCTTGCTTTGGTTGATTTGCACTTTAAACCTATGGTGTTCTTTGAACATATTCCACCTTCTTCTTTAATTGATTTACAAAGGTCAGGCTTAAGACTAAATGCTGTCATCCTAATGTTCATTTGGACAAGATGATGATAGCTGACATGTGTCACTCACATGATGCCAAGTAGCAAGCATGAAGGTGGGTAGCTAGTGTATCATCCATATGGTGTGACATGTAATACGGAATACCATTGACCACACTAAGGGTTGCATCTGCTGCCTCCATATAACATCCAGCTTCCATGCCAAATGCGGATGTTGGGTAAGCATCACATGGATGTCATTTCAGCGTCAATACAAGGATAGAATTATTTAACATACCTCATCACACATAGCTGATGTAACGAATTCTAGTGTTAATGCACATATGTACCTCAATCCCTTTTTTCTCCATTACTTTAAAGTGACTGCAGAAAGAGTCTTCTCATGCCCAAAATGAAAGTTCTTCAGATATTTAAGAGAAATCACAATCTTATAGAGATTCCAAATATGTAAGTTTTTATCAACAAAATGAGCATACGTATCATCTTAGATTCTCAACAATGTTACTATAGAGAATATACATCAAGAAAATAAAGGGCAAATTACCTGATCGAGCACCACATCAGTGATCAAATCCCCTGCAACCTCCTTGGACTCCGCAACCACCATCAGCTCATCAGCAACCCACTTCCTTCCAGCTGGAGGTGCAACCACAGGGCTCGCAAACCTCTGGAGGTCCCTCTCCTCCTTATGCATCATCTTAACAGTCTTCTTCCTCGCAAGAGCGAGCACCACATGGTCCATCGCATCCTCGTTCATTACCACCTCGAACGTGATCGTGTCCTTCTTGGAGAACACCAGATGGAGCGCCCGGGAGATGAGGTCGTGCCGGCTCAGCAGCTCCATCGTGGCGAGCATTCCCTGGCAGTACCGTCGGCCAGTGGCGTAGAACTTAAACACGTCCTGACCCTCCTTGAGGAGAAGGGGCGTGTCGTTGCCGTCCCCGGTGCCGAGGAGGCTGAAGTTCTTGTCGAAGATGGAATCCTTGACGGCGAATTTGGCCGCCCAGGCGAGAGCGATGGCCTCGTTCCGGCGCTTCCCATGGAAGTAATTGAAGGCGAAGCAGATCAAGAAGGTGACACAGACGATTTCGAGGAAGTAGGACCGGAGAGAGAGCGGGGGTGACGGGGGAGAGGAGAGTTCCACTGGTTTAGAGGAAGGGAGGATGGAATCGTCGTCAGCGGCGGAGTCGGGGTCGTGGTCCGGGGGTTGGACGGCGGGAGGGATGCCTTCGAACTCATCCTCGTCCCAGAGATCGGAAGGGGGAGAGGGAGCGGCCGGGGGGCCGTGGTGGGACTCCTGGGAGGAGGCGCCGGAGAGGGAGGTGGCGGGGGGAGCGGGGGTGGCGGATACGAGGGTTTCAGCCGTGGTGTCGAGATCGACGTCCAGGTCGTCGCCATCGGGGTCGAAGCCCTCGAAATCGGCGGCGGAGGCGAGGACTGAGTGGCGGGATAGCTCGTGGGTGAGGAGGGAAAGGACGGAGAGGAAGGCGAGAAGGAAGAGAAGGGCGTCGCCGTGCGGGGAGAGGGACGTGGCGAGGCCGCGCGTCCACCGGATCGCCATCGGGATCAACTGGTCTCTCTCTCTCTCTCTCTCTCTCTCTCTCTCTCTTCTCTGTCTTGAAGGGAGAAGAAATAAAAGAAAACGGAGATTTGGGAGAGGAAGACGGTGGTGCGGAGAGAGACGGACGAAGAGAGAGAGAGAGAGGAGAGAGGGCGAGAGAGAGAGAGAGAGACTTGATTGTGATTGTTTTTAAATTATGGTTTATTATTTGGAAATCATAATGTGGACACGTGGAAGTACGTGAAAACTCATTTTCCCGGTAAATGATGATGATGATGATGATTTAGAAAAACAATTAAATCTAATATAATTTTTCTTTATTATGAAAACAAAAAAATATAAATAAAGCAGTAAGATTATAAAATATAAAATTAAATACCCTAATAACATGAGATGGAATCCTCCTAAGTATGAAAAAATTAATTTTTTTATTTTAATAATTTTGTTCTCTTACACTACTTACTACTTGAACGTCCTAAAAGAAAAATAATATAATAGATTGTCTTAAAAATATCTAAAAATATGATAAGATCCACCAGTAGCCTTTTAAGATGAATACTATTTTTGATCAATTAAACTTCTATATACATGCAATCTAATTATTCGAATATGATAACCCATTTATTGAATATATCATGAAAATTTTAAAATAAATATTTTTTTATTAAATTACTTAATATTATATAACCAAAATGTAGATTACAACACCTACATTATATACAATAACATTACATTCATTTCAAATCAAATAAACTAAGTATTATCTTGAATATCGAATATATTATGGAAAGATATCGTTGACATCTAGTCAGCCCGATATGGTTTAAATCTATATGAGTAGGATTATCCGATGTGTCTTTGAAATGAAAACGTCTAAGTTCTTGAGAAAGACGTTTGAGGTATCATCTACACAAAGATTAAGGTCGAAAGAGGTTTTCTGAGTCGATCCCTCCGATACCTAAGTTAGTAATATAAGGTAAATGAATACAATCGCTAATAGTAAATAGTAACCTCTTAACCATGTTAAAGTGACCTTTTATACCTAGTAGCAATAGAGCATCATATTTTATAAATATTCTTCGAGGATGTAGTCTTTAACTGCCAGACAATCTTAATTTTGTCTTTTGTACACGTAGGCAACAAGGGTGGAGATAACCTATAACTATTTATCTTGGGTCGATGTCTATGCAAGTAGATTAGTGGGGGATAGCTTTTGTCTCCTTCCAACCTTGACTACACGGAGGACACATGCTAGATGGATCGTGTTTGATCGATGATATCCTCTTGATAATTTATCACCCCCGAAAGCATGCTATGAGGGCTCATTGGCGAGGGTCTTGAAGCACGACATCTAACCTATCTGATACATTGGTCTTACACTCATTTGATCACTTCTTTAAGGGGGAGCAAGAGTTCATGATCAATGTACCAAAAACGAACAAGGACATGTCCTCCCTACCGCGAGCAATGAGCAATCAATACATACTAACTAACCTATCCCAAGTGGAGGGGGGTTCAACATTCGACCCCTCCACCTTGGTCAACGAACGAAGTTGGCACTAGACCCCTTCACCTTGGTTGGTGGAGAAGGTTAGTGCCTAATCCACCCACTTTGGACAGAAAGTGGGGTTGACGCTCAATCCCTCCATGGTTGGTAGAGGAGATTGACCCCTGACCCACTCACCTCGGGAGAAAAGAGGGGTTGGCACCCAACCCCTCCTTCATGGTTAGTAAAGGAGGTTGGGCCCAACCCACCTGCCTCAAGTGGAAACGAGGGTCCATGCCTAACCCCTCTTCCATGGTTGATAGTGGAGGTTAAGGCTCGACCCACCCACCTCGGACGGGAAGGGGAGTCGGTGCCCGACTCACATACCTTGAGTGGAAAGGGGGGTGGATGCTTGATCCCTCTTTCATAGTTGATGAAGGAGGTTGATGCTTGACCCACTAGCCTCTGGCGGGAAGGGGGGTCGAGGCCCGACCCCTCCTTTGTGGTTAGCAAAAGAGGTCGGCACCCCACCCTTCCTCCATGATTGAAAAAGGAGGTCAATACTTGACCAACCTATCTTGGGCAGAAAGAGAGGTTGGCGACCGACCCCTCCTTTATGGTCGATACTTACCTCTCAGCTTTGAGAAAAGGGATTAGCACTTGACCTATCTATCTTAGGCAAGAAAGGGGTCTGACACCTAGCCCATCTATTATGGTCGATAGAGGCGGTTGGTACTCTACCCACCTACCTCAAGCAAAAGTGGGGTTGACGGTCAACCCCTCCATCGTGGCCAATAGAGGAGATCGATGCTCGACCCACATGCCTTAGTGGAGAGGGTGTCAGCACCTAATCCACTCACCTCGAGCAGGGAGGGGGTCAGTGCCTAATTCACCTGCCTTGGGAGAAAAGAGAATCGATGCCTGACCCCTCCACTTTGGGCTAGCCCTAACGGAGTTAGTTTTTTTAACCTTCATGTGTTTAGCAAGCAAATCTTTAGTGGGTTGGGCTTTCTTGATCTAATTTGACCTATGCCTTTGAAGGCTCTCTTTAGGTGGATCTAGTTTTGTTGACTCACACTTCTCAATGATATTTTATCTTGTACCCCTTGCCATGAGTAGTTTCCGCTATGCGGGTTGGGTTTTGTCAAATTATGTATTTCGAGCATATCTTGTCTTGTGTCTCCCCGTCACGATAAGATGACAAGATGAGAGGGCCTATAAGACGAGCAAAAAATATGAAACAATGTTAAAGTCTTAGAGTAATACCATTGAGGATCTCCATTCTCTCAGTCAGAGCATAGAGATAGAGATCCTGGTATGCTTATATGCACCGTTTTACTATCTCAAAGCGTAGAGATCCTGGTATGCATCATTGATTCTGTCGTATGTGTTCGTTTTGCTCGCTTACCTTTTCCGCGGCCTCAGGGCACTCTCTCTGCATTGAGAGTGCCATCCATCGCTCACAGTTGTTACAAATGCTGAGAGAGATGTTCCCCAATCACCTAAAAACCTAATAATCTAAATAGCTTCGTCCTCAACAAAGATCAAAATTGTACTTGTTTGCACGTCCAGGTGCGAGGATGGAGTGAAGCCTTACAAGTTCCCGAATCAAAGGCTTCGGGATCTTGGTCTAAAGTTTACTCCAATAAAAGAAAGCCCTTGTGAGACCGTGAAATGCTCGCAGGAGAGAGGCCTTCTTCCTCCGCCTTCTTCTTGAGATCCGCCATGTGAGTCGAGTGTGCTAAGGATCAGCAATGTAATCTCCACTGCAAATGCTACTGACGATATAAATTATTTGGAAATATGTCGTTGGATGTCTACATTGTAATGACGGATAACTTGAACAAAGAATAAATTAGTTCCTTTGAAACTACCATAGAAATTGAGGAATATTTGGAAGCATATGAAATATTGCAAAAGAGTCTGACGGAGTTAAAAGAATATGTAAATATGCAAGTAATACATTATGTATGGCTTATTTGTTAGCGCAAGCAATAGAGTTGACCTTATTTAAGGATGCCAACAGATCAGAAATACCATCATATTCTATGCATTCCAAGTACTATCAGCACTAACTAATGAGTTTCTTTGGATACACAGATGTTACATTTTGTAAACAAATACTAAGATCTCCATGAATAAATACTCAGCTGCTCCTGACAAATTGCTTAGACTGCAGGTGTCATTGACAGCACTGCAAGCAAAGTATCATTTGCCAAGTTATGTATTGAGCTGGATCTCCATACGAGGGGCAACAAGATAGATCTACAAGCCAAACCATTAAGCAACAAGTTACTACAGTCATGATGGAAATATCTGCACTAGACTAACAAAGTTCAAACATGAGTGGAAGCCAAACCAAGCTGCTATCATAACATATCTCTTGATGACGATTTTAATTTAGGTGTGGACAAACACATTAGTTGCATTATGCATATGACATGTCCTTAACTAATCACTTCAGAGTTAAAGAACATAATAATGAGAATCACAATTAACCCCCGAACACAAATAAGTCATCATAACCATGAGTTTACTATCTGCAGGGAGGACTTTTCATAGAAGGCATAATGTGGAAGTAAATAAGAGGACTTCATCAGATGTTGGTTTCTGGTAGATCCTTCCTCCAGATTATTGGAGTTGTCATTGGGATGAGATTACAACACATTTTTAATGACTGATGATTACAAGGGGAAAAAATCTTTCATGCACCTATTAGCAATTTTTCCCTCATCTTCTAAGCCATGATGCTGGCAGCAAACCCCTAAGCTTTCTCTTGAAGACAACAGAAAGTGCAGAGCCCAGAAGAGGCCAAGTTGTGACGATAGCTATATAAGCTAGCAACCACATTGATATATCATAATGTTGTAATAGCTGATTGATGGATCTCTTTACTGGAGCAGTCACATCATGGATGGCTTTGGTAATGCTTTCTGCCTGTATCTCTTGCACGGAATCCACAGGCTCGCTACCATTGTCCATGTCATTTTCTGTTCCAAGCAAACTCTGGTCCGTAAGCACAATTTCATCCTCAGGTTCATCGACATGGCATAATTCATCATCATGCAAGTCCTCTTCGGTCATGTGGTCTGGTCCTTCAGTAGTCATTGCAGCAACCATTCCATCTTCCGTGATATTAACATATGGCCCCTTATCGATGCCCGATTCAAGCGAACAATGCAAGCCATGGTTTGGTGTCTGCATCAGTCATATTACTATCTTTAACACCATAATAACACACATAAAACATATCCACACTGAAGATTAGATCAATTAAATCCCGTTAGTGAATGAGACGATCTTATATCAAACTTCAGTATAACAGCATGTCATTTAAAGGTTAAGAAGTGGACCTTAATCTTCCCATGCATGAATTCACTCGAGTGTAGAACATTGAGAAACTCGCGAACAGCTCCAACCCACCTGCAAACAAAAACTTCAGTTCCTTGAAGAAGAAATATAGGAAGTTCCAACTTTGAGTAGATGATCCACCGATGACTTGGTGCAGTGACTGTCCATCCAGATCTAAGAGGATGTAAGAAATAACATTTCCAAGAGACAAAAGCACAAGATAATGTATCTTGGTTGATTCTATAGGTTTCGTCAGTGGCTGTAACATGATAATGAAGATTCTTGACATCCGGTTCATAATTATAGAAAGTGTTCTGATAAGCACATACCACCAGCATGGCTAACAAGTTTCTGTTCCTCTGACAATTCATCTCAAGAAAAAAAAGAGAGAGAAAATAATCAAGAGAACAAGAGTAGATAAGTACCATAAACTATGTGCTGTCAGCCCCTCAAAATAAGCAAGATGTCCACCATGTGCAGTTGTTGCCAAAACAATGTTTTGGTTTGCCCTATGAAATTAAAAATATTAATAAGTTTGAAATGAGAGGAGAGGAGGCAGCCACTTTAGCAATAAAAACTGGTCTTCATGGTTTCAACTTTACCTGCATTCATCCCAAGGAATTGCTTCCCTTGTACAGACTGGGTCATCCAATGAACTGATGCACAGCAATGGAACAGCTACATTCCCAATAAAACTCACACTGCTACAGCAGCGATAATAGGTATCTACAGTCTGAAACATACAAGACACTGTGTAACTCAAGAAAAGAGTCCAAAAAGTAGCCAAGGGAAATACCTCAAACTTTCCAACATGGCAAGTGGCATGACTGTCAAAGTCCCGAACAGAGCATGACTGAAAGCAACATAACAAAGAATAAAGAAAACAAGCCATAAGTAGGTGTGCGACTAACAGGTGAGAGTAAAGCTACAAAATTTTTGGCTGTAGAAAATTATAACAATCAAAATAAAAAAAGCATTTGCTACAATTTGATAGAATATTACAACCATCACACTAAAATCAATCTTCCAGTGATCATGCTGGATCCCTCTACAAGGCCAAATTTCAAGTACGTGAATTCAAATTGCTAGTCCATAAGAAGGTACATACTCTAGCAGTTGGATGTTGAACTTGAAATTTTTAAAGAGAGTATAGAACAAGGTTGAATCGACAAAGTTTAGTTTTAGATATCAGTATATCACTAGTTAATGCAAACTGACCATAGTATCAATTTATCCAAATCTTCCAGCTACTTCTCCAAGTTAGGAACTCTATAAATATCATCTGAATTTACAACTTAGGATGTTCCATATAAGCAAGTAAATTATGACATCTGCTGCTTACCAACTCTTGATATAAGTACAGATTTTATTCATCTCTACACCAGCATAAGGATTGTTGTGTTGTTTAAACTAATGGAGGATAAAAAAGGAACCACAACCAAGTATCTAAAGGTAATTCATCATTGTAAAGGTTAATGCGCAAAACTGGTTCACTTGCAGGGTTGTGATATTTTTTGTGAATTATAGCTAAAAGAAATGATACAGTGAATAGAATATGTGCCTATACTTGTGTGTTTGGATGTGTCAAGCACAGAGAACTCTTTATGCATTCCGCAGTCCAAGAAAGCACCAGAGAAATTTTGATGTACATAGCTTTCCTAGAAGTTGTGTACATAATTAATGGTTAATGTTGAAAACAAATGGAAGTGAATCTGACAAAAGTTGATTGATTGTAATCTAATCAGAAAATTTCTTTTTCCCTGATGTTCCATAACATTCTTGCTATTTCCTACTTGCAACCTCAATTAATTGACTGCTTGGACAGAGACTGTTAGGTTGCTTTTTTAATTACAGTATGATGATTGAATGTGAAAATTGCTCAACAAAGAGATTTCAAAATGATCAAGAGTTTTACCTTTCTGATGCCTTCCCAATTTGCTAGTCGAGTTAATATAGGCTGATGTCTGAGCAAAAGTAAATATCAGCCCAACACATACAAAATTAAGTAGGATAGTAGGCTACAAGATGAATGTAATGCAATATATTTCAAGGGGCACTGGCATAATCTTAGAGAAATCCCTGCATACCAATAAATAATTCACCAGATATGGAGTTCAAATGGAACATACAATTGAGCATAACCTTTAAGGCCAATTGTAAGAGCTTTGTCATAGAATCGCTGGACGAGCTTGCGAGAAATAAACCTGTCACATACCTACAAGTGGGAATGATACAAAAAATTAACACCACAACATGACAATGCAAGGAATGAGAAATTCAAGTCTTAGGCTATGACGTTCATGTAATATCAGCCACTATTAGTCCAAAACTACTTTGGATGCATTTGGGTAGGAAAGCACAAATTTAAATTAATTGGGATGCATGAATATTGTCTGTTATGATAAGTCTTATCCTAGTTTACATGTACAATGAAAGGTCCTTACTCATGAAATGCAGAATAAAATAGTATCTCTTATTCTCTTTTACCAATAACAAAAAGAAAAAGAATACCTCAATAGACAAAACGAGTAATTAAAGTAAGCCAAAAAAAGTTTCAACTAAGGATTGCAACACCAACCACTTCAGTACGATTAGGCCAGTATTTACTGTCCAACCACCAACCGGTTCACAGAGTAGGCCAAATCAGACAGTTTGATCTGGTTCTCTACTTTATATTTATATGTATATACATACATATATATATATATACATACATATATATATATATACATACATATATATATATATATACATACATATATATATATATACATACATATATATATATATATACATATATATATATACATATATGTGTGTGTGTGTATACATATATATATACACATATATATATACATATATATCCATATCCATATACATATATATGCATATATACATATATATATACACATATATAACCATACCCATATCCATATCCATATCCATATACATCTCGTCCTCTCCTCTTATTCTTCCTTTTTCTTCCTCTTTTGGAATCCTTTTCTTCTTTCTTCTTTCTTCTTTCTTCTTTCTTCTTCCTCTCCTCCCCCTCCCCCAACAGTATTGGGTACATACTAATGTACCGACACAGTTCGCTAGAATAGACCAAACTCGTAACATTTTGGCTAGACATGGACTGACATGGCTCAGATGACCGTTGCAAACTTTGGTTTGAACATTACCCCATGCTCCCTAAATTGAAAACTTGGGATCAACTAATTCCAAAACAATTCCTAGTTCCTCAGGGATTTTAGTGCAGCTTGACATGGATCCCAATCTAGATAAGTAAAAGCGATGACATTGAATTCTACGTGTAATGAATTTTTGTTGCCTTATTTATTTGAAAAGAGTAACAAGCATATATGAAGTTACATGAAAGGCAGCCACAATCTAATATATAGATGGCTCAAAACAATAAATTGAAACAATTTTTGTGACAAAAAAACTAATAAAGTAAATTCCAGATTGATCTATGATTTTCTTTGTGCCACTTAAAGTTAAAAAAAAAATCCTTGTACAAATACTGTATGTAAGTTGAAGAAAGACAGTTAACCACTAGATCCCATGGCGAGCAAACAGAAACAGCACCAGCGATAGGCGTATTCTCCCCATCTTCCCCAAGATACTTGACCTAAAATTGAAAAACAATAAAAGCAAACAGTAAAAGAGTAATTAAGAAAAACATGGTTTGTTTCACTAAATAAATAATCAGATTGCTTAATTCAAACTAAGATTAATAACATGACGACTAATAGTTTTCCCAAATTCCTAAGGCAGTTAAAGAAATATCTAAATGATAAGATTCACAAGAGAAGTTCCAAGAATTCCAAGTCAAGTACACTGAATTTAGCTCATGACAAAGAGTGCAAACATGAAAATAGCTTATTAATGTGAACACAACTAGCAATGGGTATTTGACAACAAGCCATTCAAGAACTAGAATTTGTATGTTGAAACAATTATATTCCTGGAAAAATAAAGATCCACATAATATATTTGAAAATTCTTTAAAACAAAACAAGATTTACAAGTCCAGGCCCATTATAGTTTTTAAAAAATAAAACCTGTTTGCATACCAATACATTTGCACCAATGCTTGTCCCAACAGCAAACAGAGGAGCTCTCCAATATTCATAATGAAGATAGTTAACAACTTCCCGAAGATCTTCCGTCCATCCAGCATTGTAGAAGCAATCAGACTGTCGAAATGGCAATCAACATTAAAATTCCAAAATAGAATGTCACATCAATTTGGCTGTGCCTAGATTTTTTGGCTGCAGTAGCACCTTGTCCAGCAAGGCATTCTTTGTCAGCATGCTATGTAAATCTGATTACATGTCTATCAAAATTTTTAATTGTTTTTTTTCCACCATGATAAAGGCAAGAAAGCTTCTAGACTTACAAGTTTAATTATGACAACAACAACAAAGAAAAGCAATGCAATATCTTCTTCCTCGTCTCTCTAATGTGATATAATGATGTTTTGCCACAATCAGAAGACATTAAAGTTTGCAGTATTTGATACAGAATCCATGCCATGAAAAAAAAATTGTTACTAATTTTGCCTTATGATAGAATCACGTAGCCTAGATTAAGTGGCAGCCAAGAATAAATGATCATAGGTTAACAACCCAATTAAATTTGTCCCCTGTTTGGAACCTATATTAGTAAGCATCGTCACACACAACTTCATTATCTGAATTAAGTAATAATATAGGAGTAAAAAGGAAATCAAGAATATTGCCTACCAATGAACAATCCAAATAGGATGGAAGGAACATATTTTACCGTAATGGAGATACCTCCTAGGCCTCGATGATTGCTCACAACAACATTCCATCCATGTTTTGCCATTGTGTAAGCAGCATGTTTCACATACTGCAGTGTAAGATTAAAGCCAACATATTAGTTGATCAACCACCAGATAGAAACAAAAGAATGATTGCCCCTTTAGCAAGCCTTTAGAACAGTAATAGAAAGTTCCAGTTGCTGCAACTGCTGGGAGTAAGAAGGGAAAATTTTTGCATTTATTACAAAACAAAAGTTGTCTTTTGGAAGTTTTGAATTGTATTTCATGATATCTACTACAAGATTGCTACAGTTTAAATTTTAAAGTGAAACCCACAGCAGGTTTTAGGTGTGTCACCATCTTAATATTTTTCAGCCTATATCTAACCAAGTTGATGCATCTGGCTGATTCAACTTATCAAAGTTTCTCTCATCTCATAACATTAATAAGGAACTATTATAATCACTCTATCAAGAAGAATCGGCAATATCACCAATTCATCAAAAGAATTGTTTTTACAAGAGCAATTCATTATCACTATGCATAAAAAATTAAAGGAGTCGATTAAATAACTGGAATCAATTAAATAACTACTTGGACTATAAAAAACTATAACCATATTTATGGAATTCTAAAAAAATACATATGGGATGTTAGAAAAGATAAAACAGGAATCTTACAGAAGAAAAGGAATCACTAGTCAGTCCAGGGACCACAACCACAATAGGAGTAGTATCATCTCTTGAAATAACCTTGTCCGTGTCAGAGGCACCTCCTGCAACTGTAAATAGGGAGTCTAAGTTAATAAATAACATCGTATACAAGACTCTGTATAATGGCACTCTTAAGTTATTTTTTCGTTTTGTCTTTGTGTCGTGTACAATTTTGAGGAACCTAAAGTTGCAGACTGGGTTGCTTCAAAGGTGTCAAGTGGTCAAAAAAACATAGTTGATACTGGATAACAACTTACAGCTATGGCACATCTATTTCCATGTTCATCACTGGGCTTATGCAACAAGTGTCCAAAAATCATATGACAATGACAAAAATGTGGTATTAGAACACTTGAATACTTACAAGAACAATTAAAGGTTATTTTGCACCTATAACTGAATCCATTTAATAAAATCGATCAATTCATGAACTTTCAAGTGTTGAAAGCATTCAGAAGGAGAGGGTGATCCAACACCAAATTGAATGAATGGTCATAAGCAACAATGATTATGAAACAATTCAAGTATTTCAAGTAGAATTTCTCAGATTTTCTCAATCTAAATCACAAGACTGAGAAAAAAATGTGCACTGAGGAAACTGAAGGCACCAATCCACAACAGCAATATATCACAGACAAACACATAGTTCGCAGATCAAACATCAAGTTAAGAATATAGATTTAATTGACTACAAGACCATCATATCTTTTACATTGTATTTCTGGAATAATCTGAGAAAAAAAAAAAGAATCAACAAGTCATTTTGCTTAGCACATAAGATTGTACATCACAGGTCATTGGCAACAAGCCTTGAGTGCAAAAAGAACATCCAGATAAAAAAATAAGGACACATGTTACATTCATGGAAAATATACTGTACAGGAGTATTTGCTCATACATAAGCATGAAGCATGCAGTGCAACATAAAGTAACAGGGATGATTGAAAGCCATTAGTAAAACGAACATACAAATTAGCTATCATGGGAGTATGGCACAAACAAATTAGTCATTAGGGCATCAAAAAGCCGAATTAACTATCGTGGCACCTACCTAAACCTAGCCATTAGTAAAGCAAACATACAAATTACACATTTCCTGAGCACACTACTTTTGAGATCCACTGCACCTGCTAAATAAGGCAGATCATAAGTATACAAGAAATATAGAAGCAGCAACAACCAACCATGCATAGAGCATAAAGAGAAAAAGAGCAAATGAACACAAGAAGTTGCTATGAAGATAAAGATAATTTTCAAACAAAATGCCCAAAGTAGGTTATCAAAAGGTTAACAAGGATAAAAGAAGCGATGATTGAAAACAAACGCTTAGCTTCATTTAGCAACCACAAGCCACAAATTCCAAGGACCAAATTGGTCTAGAGGTCCATGGCTTGTCAAGGAGCTGATGGTTGAGGATTTTTAAAGTTTGTGACTCATTCTATATTATAAACTTCAATCAATTCCCTCATATAGAATCTGGATAGCAAGCATGAGGTTTGTTAAACAAGCAACAAAGTTCAAGGATGCTATACAACATTTGATTTTATCCAGAGTCGGTATTTTGTAAGCATACCATCAGAGGCAAGCAACCAGTCCAAAGCCACTGTTCCACCATCCTGAACAGAGAATAATTGCCTGAAATTTAATAGAATATGCTCAGATAATACATTAAGAGCATCCATAAGTCATAAGGGCAAAAGAAGAGCCTAGGCAGCAAATACAAACTTATCAAGAATTATCCTTGGCAAAAATAAAGGTAATTGATTGTCCAAGAGCACGTTCCAAGGTAGCAGATAAAACAATTTAAATTTTTATTCCTGATGGAAATCTGTATATCCATTGAGAGGCAAAGTTGCATGGCGCCTGCTGAATTTTTCTCAAGAAAACCCACCGATTGTATCATTGATAAAGATATAGGATGGCAGGAATTACATATGTCAAACACCACTCACAGTTCCTGTGATCCTCCTCCAGATGGAAGAGACATAATAACATAGTTAATGCATTGTTAACCAGGTTCCTACCAGTCCGCAATGATAATTTATTTTAGTTTTAACAGAATCACCAATTTCCACTTGAAAGATAAATCACAGCATAGGACATTCCAATACAGAGGTGTTAAGAATAAGTTTTATGTTCCCAGAATAACTCTCCATGTGAATCAACGCCAATGCCGAATCCCAAAAGCAAATAGGGACAAAATGCAACTCAATATCGAATAAAAACCTAATACCAACCTTCTATAAACAACAGATGGAGGTCTTCCAAAAAAACTCAAGAAGACTGTCTGCAAATGGGGGCTCGCAAGCCACGGCGTTACCAAATACCTAAAAAATCAATCGCCGCCGATTATCCATCAACCCAACCTTCGGTAAACGGTATCATTCCAAGAGAACCAATCAATCAGACTGCGGGCTCACCTTCCATGGAGGATCCGGCACATGGAGACGACCCCTTGGTAGATTCTAGACGCGGGATCGAAGGTGAGGACGACGGGGTCCCCCCGGAACCCCCGCAGAAAATCGCCCAGGAAGTGGAGCTCGAGGAAGTTGTAAAGGAAAACGAGGAGGAAGATGAGCGCGGCCGCGAGGTAGTGGGCTGTCGGCACCAAGGCGGCGGCCCGAAGGAGGAGTCCGATGGCGGAGGCTTCGTCGGGGACGGAGGAGAAGTAGGACGCCATGACTTCCGGCGATCGAGGAAGAAGAAGAGGGGAGAGGAGAGTTCGGATCTGACGCTTACGCTCGAATGGGCATCGGGATAGAGAACGGCAGAAGCGTCCTCAATATCATCGTCTCTTTCTTTGATTAGTACATTATAGTTGATGACGTGTCGCTTCAGTACCGTTCTAACTTTCACGGGACCCACGGCGAGGCATCAGTCCTAGTGGTTCAGCGTGGAGGGTTGAACCAAATGGAACTTGTTTCTGCCGCTGGAGCGCATCCTCTGCTGCGACGGGCTGGTGAGCGGTTGGCGTGAAAGCCAGCGACTTATTGACCAACCGACATATATATATATATATATATATATATATACTTTATGATTATTTAATTAAAAATGATGGAAAAGTGCTTCTTATTTTGATTAAAAAATTATTTGTCTTAATTTTTTTTAAAAAATTGTGATAAAAAACTTTACTCAAAAATCAATTATATATATTGTTTTCAATGTATCAACGTGTAATCAAAACGTGTATCTATAAAAAAACCTCGTGTTTCTGTACGATAGTTGTGAAGATATTTGCTTGTAGATTTCTTTAATACTGTTTATATTGGAGAGGACGCAATTTAATATTTTTATTGGATTTTGTTGATCGTATATAATATTGGTGGTTCGTAGATTGTCTGTGGACTTGAAAGACAAATTGTTTCTTAAAACACTTTTACAACCTGAAAACAACGTTACAAAATTTCAAAAACAAATTTCTTTATCTTGTGTTTATGGAGATTTTCGAAAATAATTTTTTATAAAAAGTATTCTTTCCAAAAATCTCCCGAAATTTTATTTTTCTATTTCCCTTAATAAGATATTTACATATAGCATATTTCTAATAAAACTCAAAAATAAAATAAAAAACCTACAAACTTCTTTTTTCTTAGAAAGCACACATTAAATAATTTTCAACAAAAATATTTTTAAAAAATATTTTCATGTTCTATTATTTTTAAAAATGAAAAAAATAAAAATACACCTACAAAGTTTGAATAAGTAATCAAGTAATCTTTTCATGATTTGCTTGATTTATTATGTATTAGAATGAGCTTGCAAACAGCAATAATGGTAAAATCATAAATCTTAATTATTTTGATACATCTTTTCTCGTTATTAAGATCTATAAAAAAATTATATATTTAATTAAATTTAAAATATTTAATCTCTATTTATAATTTTTATTAAAATATTATTATATCTTTCTCAATCTCTTCATACCATTAACATTAATTATTTTACCAATCACATCCGAAAATTTCTTAAGCATATGCTAATATTATTTTAAACAATTTTCTCTCAATAATTAATTATTCACAAATAATTTTTTTAAAATTTTTCTTAATAACTCCATACATCTATCTCAATATTCATATCTTGACAACACAACCTTATATATATATTTTTTTTTAATTATCCAACACTTAAATTCATAAAATATTATTGATCTCATAATTATCTTATGAAATTATTCTTTTAATCTCAAAAGTATCTGATGATTACACAAGACAAATAATACCCCTCGCAATAAGATAAAAATAATAATAACTTTAAAATGTAAAGAAACCTCTTGGAAAAAATGCATCCATGAACTTGAACTTTGATATGAATAAGTCCAATTTCATACAGTCCCATGCAGAAGCATGTACCCAATCATGCATTTACCATATAGCAATTTTATTTCATACATTTATTTGATGGCCCAACATATCAACACAAAAGCTCGTGTTAGACATGCACATCTGTGCGATGGAGATGGTAGATGATATCGGGCAAAACGAGAAGAACCCCAGGTTGCTCTGCAGAATAACAAGGATAAATCAGAAACTTAAAAGATATTTTCCACAATCACAGTGAAGATAACTCCTACATAACACCAAATGGGAAATGCTGAAAACTAGCAGCCTCAGTGTTCGAATGTTTCTCGTATACATTTCAGCAAAAAGAAGGCAGGAATCCTTTGATGCCCTAAACGCAACATAATGATATCAAATGAAATTAAAAATAATCAAGATGCTCTGCAATCCAACAGTACATGAGCACCGAGCTTAATAGTTCCACAAATGTTCACATTTCAGCACCACTGAAAAACTTATGCGCATGCCAATTCTAATACCAGAGTAGGCTTTTTTTCTCCAACGAGAAGAAAAGCAACATAATGTTGATATCATAGTAAATTACTTTTATCCAAAGGCCAATTCTATGTTCTGTGCTAAAACATATAACATGTAAGATTAATTAGCAACCAATTGACAAGCGTAAGTATCATCCCTTATTATTTCATTGACATTTGATGGCTTTTAACCTCCTTCAAAAAATCTAAAAGACAAATTAAACAAGGTTAGAGAACTAAATGTGTATGTATGCATACATTTTAGTTCACATTCGTAAGCATAAGTAAATTTGTATGCAAATGGGTACATATATATGTATATGTAGGTTCCGCACCTGCGGAAACATAAGGAGCATTGATGCTTTAGGCTTTCAGGATTAAAGTGTGTTTCAAGAAGACAGTCACTTGTGTTCTAAGGAGCCTTTAAAAGAAAAACTGAGCATATCACACAGGGAGCATTTGAATGTACAGGCCCCTTGAACTCAATAAACAAGAGATGATCATAAAAGTCCTATTTTCACTATAGTGCATCTCAGAATTAAAAAAACAAAAAAAAAATTTATTAGTTTCCAGAGGCAAGCTGAGTTTAAGCCATTTTCTAACAAAAGAGTGAAAAGCTATAAGCATTTTCTTAAATTATCAACATAACCTACTACCCTAAGTGTGGATTGGAGTTCCATTAGTACAACTGAAGAAATTGGAGTATGACTGAGACCTGAATCACAGCAAAGCCAATTTCAGATTTTGGTGATAGGTTTCCTGTGAAGCAGTGGTGAAAAATCATCTGAAAAACTATCTTAATAAGCTTTCTAATCCAACAATGGTCTTAAAAAAGATACATACAGTGAACTTAAGAGCCAAAGGGCTACAGGATTCGGAACCAAACAGTGTGGTAATGATATGATGTAATAACTATATAATGGACGTCAACCTCAAGGTTTGAACAGAGCCCCCAAGATAACTCACATAAGAAGGAGAATATCATGATCCCATCCAATATATGAAAAGTAACACAATAATTTTTGTGTCAGACAAGCAATGGGCAAAATCATCAATATATATATATATATAAAGCTACCGTAGAAAGGCTGCAAAATAGAACTTGATCTTTTTCGAATTCAACCAATAATGAATGGTTCGATCACAGAGAGATCAATTGAAAAGAAGGGTCATGACCAATGGGCAAAACAATCCCTCTCTGTGCGTTTGGTTAATCTAAAACAATTATAGAGATCTTTTTTCTAATATAACCAATAATTGTAGTCCGATAACAGAGAGAGATCAATACAAGATAAGCTATTTCTATGGGCTGCTAAATGAAAGTAATGGTAGAAAATCTGTTAAACAGACAAATTTGAATCGCATGGGAAGGGATCAATAAAGAAATGTCCAGAATCAGATCAAATTGCAAGTACCAAAATCATAAGAACTAGGGGGAAAATGGAACTCACTCCGCAATTCTTCGACCTGTTGTGCGGTGAGTTTCGCCGCGAACCCCCTGGCGGCATGCGTATAATGATGGATCACGGCATCCTTGGCGCGCTCTTCACTGCAGGAACGTAAAAGATCAAACCTTTGATGACATAGAAAACCCTAATCAAACCGAGAAGAAGGTATCGTGCAGGGATGGGAAGAGGAGGAGGGGGAAGAGCGACCTCCCAAGGACGACGGCGAGGGTTCGAATAGAGAAGGCCTCGGGTTTCACGCCCTCGGGACATTCCAAGTAGGCGATGTACACGGTGGCCTCCTCCGACGCCACGGAGATCGAGAGGGAGGCAGAGAGGAAGAAGAGGATAGATGCGACGACGAAGGCGACCGGAAACCTCTTCATCTCGGCTTCGCAGCCTCGTTCGGCGGGAGGCCAAGAAACGGCTCCATTATATCGACGACAGAAACAACAGACTTAGGTAACGACAAAAGTCATGAATAGTTCCGGTACGTTCCCAATGTCGGATTCTTTTCTCGAATTATAGTAACGATTAAGAATTAATAGTTAGTAATACCTAAAAATGGGTTCGTGGAAAGTAGGAAAGAGTGAGTTATGTTTATCCAAATCATCAATATATTATGACCTAATATTTTTAATTCAATTGAAAAGGAATGATGTGGTTTCTAATTTACATTTTAATTTATTACTATTTTAACTCTTTTATAATTTTTTTTTTCTGTTATCCTCTCTAATTTTGTTATCTTATGTCAAGTTTGTGCCGTATTATCCAATCGGATACTTCATGACGGAAACAAATTATATTTCTCGACATTATCAAATGATACCGAAGTTATATTTATTATGTGTTTTGACAAATTGTACCATTTTCATGAGTGATTCTATATGAAATTTTTGTATATTTGACTAATTGAAACAGTTTTCTAATTTTATGACTTTTTATAATATTTTTTAAAAAATTTTAAATGAAATATTTTATTAGTAACTAAAGGTTTCAAACAATTAGTATTCGATAAATTAATAACCAAAGGTTTCAGACATTTTATTAAAATGAGAAAGAAACCCATTTGGATAAAAAACCTTTATTTTTTTATATATTTTTTATATTAAACTCTATTTGATACTTAGTTGTATAAAAAAAATATTAATGTGTGGGTTTGTTCCTTTACTATTTTTGTATAATATTTTTTATTTAGAATGAATATGGAAATAAAATAATGAATGAGAGTTATGAAAATGATAAAAATATAAATATTGTTCCAGATATATCAATTAGAAAATTTGAACCAATTTCATTTTCTTTAATGGTCTCTGTAACGTAATATGCTAACACATTGCTATGATAATAAATAATCCGACAGATACAATAAGTTAAATAAATATAAAAGTAGAAACAATAAGCTAATTATTAATAATAATATTTATAAAATTTACATGTCATAATAATATTCAAATATAAGCACAACCAAATATTCAATTAAGGCTGTGAACTTTTGATGAAATATTTTATTTATTTTATTATTATTATTAAATATATTAAAATATAATTTGATTTAGTGATTAATATTAAAATATTAAAATTATTCCAAGTTTATGATTTGAATCTCACTCCAATCAAACATTTAAATAAATATTTTTTTTTCATCTGAAAACAAGTTTTATTTAGTTTCATTTTTACCACAAATATTGCAGTAGGGATTACTCAATCCAAACCCAACGCTGCATGATCAAATCCTTCGAACCAAATGGCACCATCAGCATATATATATATATATATAATCATTAAAAATATTAATATATAAATGTCCATATTACGTTGGGTATAGCTTACGTTACCCAAAAATGAAATTAATGCATTCCATGAGGTGACTTAACTCACGAGTATTCAACGCAGCCGATGCAGTAACAACTACGTAAGTCGGAGTTGATAATGGCCATGCATTTCCTACAGGTGTCACGACTATGTTGGCAACTTAAGTCGTAATCAATACAGAGCCTTTCTTTGCGTACACCAACAGTATGAAAGTTAATGACTTTTATATTAGGTTGAAGGCTTAAGATTTTATATGGGAAATTTTATACCTAAATCATTGATTTGATTTGATGATGTCCTAAATTTACTTATGAAATATTGAGTGTCTAAAATTTCATCCAACAAAATTTTAATATAAAACATAACTTGGGTTGATATATACTCATTTGCTAAAAGGTGGGATTATGCTAGCTAGTAAAAACGATTAATGGTAAGATATTTGGATCAAACATTATCTTTGTATTTAGTTAGGTCCAAGCCAAAACTTCATTCCATAAATTATAAGGATTATCTAATTGATCCATTTTGGTATATTGACCATGTGTCGATATGATATGTATGTAGGTATATCGACATATCATATGTTAATATAACGAGGCATATTTCGAATCGTCCTTTCGTTTATATTAAATTATTTAAAAATTAATTTAAATTATTAGATTTTTAAATAACTTAAATTTTAAAGTTCAAATGAATCAAGTAATTGGATATACGTGGTTCTACAAAAAAGAAAATGATGGAACTCCATGGGCGATAGATCGAGGTCCCCGATCCTATATATATATATATATATATGTTGGACCCAATCCTAAAATTGATATCACGATCTAGTGTACTGATACATTGTATGTCATTGATGTATTAATATGATGATAGTCGTAATCTACTTATCGTGGATCACACGTGTCTACGACGCCTCTTCAGGTAAGTATGATTATAGCATGTATTGATGAGGAGAATAGAGAATAATGTTGGAACTTCTACTTTTACCACTAATTTATTATTTTATATTATAAGATTGATCACGGTACTACTGCTTAGAGAAGTATGATCAACTATCATCGTATTATAGTTGGTCGTAAGATTTTGTATAATACAATGGTTATGAATACGATGAACTTTGCTCTATGTCTTGTCGTGTAGGTTTTATCGCATCTGCTCAAAATCAATCAGTACCTTTCCATTCCCCTTCTATGTATAAACTTGATCGGTATCTCGTCGAGTTCCACGATTTGAATCTTAGATAGTATGTGTAAAATACTACTTCTTAATCTATATACCACCCTCAAATTATGTAAATGAGACCATCGACTCCCTAACATTGCTACCATCATTGGTCGAGATACTACTGTCCATGTCGCTATCATATCTTTAGACTGAGTGGGTTATTGAATGCTATTGAGAATGTGTTTTATCGTCCGACTTAATTGTTTCCAACAGTACAACTAATGCTAATGTTTTCCTTCTTGCCTTTGCCTTTACATATTGGGCGGATGATTGTAATGGACGATTGTGACAGTTGGATATCTTAAGTTACTTGAGTAACTTAACTCAATATTGTCCAGCTCCTTCTGTCATATTTTGAATGAGAGGAATATTTCACCTATTGAGAATGTGCTTCATCTTCTTCTATTGCCTTAGTGATAAAATATGAATGATATTACGGATCTTCCACCTCATCAAGTAGAGGATCCTCTTGCTTTGACCTATTCTAACATCGGCTCTGAATCTTCGTTATAGGATTAGAGATCGATGGGATCAATCTCTGTTTCTTATGGCTTCATGTCCAACTTGGCACACAACAACCTTAGTCGCATATTATAGTGGACATATGCCAGTTTCTTTAATCATCTATACAATATAGACCTTCATGTGAATTAATATGAATGTTAACAAATTACATTTGCAACTACTATAAGTTGTTGTCTATGAAAGTATATATTGCTGAGAAACTTAAGGAGGCATCACAAGCATGGTGGAAAAAATAAAATAGAAATTAGTTTTCTAAAAAATAGATTTATATCAAATCACGTGCAATTGAGAGCAAAAAACTAATGAATCCAAAACCTACATAAAATGTGAGACGCACCTAAGGGAACTCATATATCTTTGATATACAGATCCTAGTTCGTGGATGAATCAGATCTCACGTTCTCCTCTCTAGCAGTAATTCATATGACAAAAGAACGTATCGTGAGAGGAGGTGCGTTGCCACTTCATCTGCTATATGGATCACCGCTAGAGAGGAGAACATGATATCTCCTCCATCCACAGACTAAAATATGTAGATCATCGATATACGAGTTCCATTAGATGAGATTCATGAGTTTTTTGCTCCCAATCATCGCACACAATTTGATACAAATTTATTTCAAAAAAAATTAATTTTTATTTTATTTTTTTTGTTACACATGTGAAGCCTCCCTAGGTTTCCTAACAGTAATATCAGAGCTAGGTTCATAGTGATGATTGGTTATAAACTACGTGTATTGTTGAATTACGTAGAATTATTTTCATGTAACTTGTTGTGTTTTTGTCGTCAATCAAAGTTCTGGATAACACCTATTCTTGTGGCTAAAATGTTCAGTCAATTAATATGTTGTCCCCGGATTCGCTGATGGAAAATGAAGAAAAAAGGGGCATCAACAACTGTTACTGCCCTACAGTTTGGCCAAAGGCTACATGCAACCTTGGCTGAGAGCACAATTTGCTGCTCTCGACTTAGCCATTAGCAGCATGGTTGAGAGCAGCCCTTACTACTCTTGGCCTGCATTGCAAAAAGATATAAATAGGACTTTATTAGGGTAATAAATAATTAATATCAAATATAATTTATAATCAACATGTGTGTAGCTTTTCCTCACTAGGATCTATATTATTATGGCACAATATAACTATAATATTAGAGAATAAACTAAATATTTTTTAGAATAATCGACCCTTTATAATATCATCAACTCCATCGGTAGTGTTTGACAAGAGTCGATATATAATATTTTTTAGTACTGATGATAAATATGATTGTGTTCCAAGACTATACCAAAATTGAATGTACGAATTTAGATAATACGCTACAAAGCAAATATTAAAAAATTATGAATTAAATTATTAGTAATTTAAAAATTAGATAATATTGAGAATTTTAAATATTAAAAAAATTATGAATTAAATTATAATGAATATGAATTTATTTGCATTATGGATATCTTGATCCAGATAGACTTTAGTCCTATGATTAATGATCTGTAAGTATTGTTCGATCTTAAAATTATTTTTAAATACTTTCTTGGCCTCCTTTCTTATTATAATTAGCATATGTCTAAGATAAGATATTTGAGGATACTTATTCATATCGACTTTACGAAGGATAATGTAAAATGACTCTATTCGTATCATGATTTCTTTCACGATATCCCAAAATATAAAAGAAGTAATAGTATATTCTATCTTTTTTCTATCGCTCGATCTCGAATACTTAGAATCAGGCCATTCCTATGAGGTGACCATTACATTGAGACTATAAATTTTATAGCAAATTGAGTGAATCCAAGTCGGAGTATCTTATCATTTATATATTTTTGCATTAAAGAATAGGCTCAATGATGTTTATATATATAATTTGTGATCGATTGTGCTCGAGCAACACACTAGTTAACTAATGATAACTCACCAATATCCTTCGGATATTTTTCTTTTTTTATAAATCGTAAATCAATTTTCTTAAAAATAGCTCCATTATCTATGACTTTTTTAGATAATGTACTATGGTTTGATCTCATCATCTACTACCGTATCTATTAAGTTTTCAATTTAGTTTATATTTTGAATCTTATTGAAAGTATTAGTTGACTCATAAAAAATCACTTGTTTATTGTAATAAATAAAAATTGATAATATTTATTCTTATTTACCTTATCTAATTATCACACATAATCAGTGTCATCCTATTTTCATCCCATTGTCTCTTAAAGGATTTGATCTAATCCTTCAATTTAATCATCTTCTCATCTAAATATACAGTATTAATCTCGTTAGAAAATGAATCGAATAGAAGAGGTCATACTCTTTATTTCATTTGGAAGGTTTAGCAGTGGGTCCTTAATAATATTTAAAACCCAACATTTATGTCAGCTATGCACTAGGGTTTGTACCTTGATGATAAGTCAAAACTATTGAAAGGAACGGGGATTGGGTAGCTGAGGGTGGATAGAGAAAGAAACTTCGATCCTTAGACAGGTAGTGTGTTGTATGGGAGCTCTTAACCACAATGGTCCAACTCAACAAGAGGAAGATGGCCGGCTTCCTACTAACTCTTACCTCATCTAACAAGTCTTGGAGTGTGTCATAAGTCTTGGTGGTTGTCAGGTCATCTATATATATATATATATATATATATATATATATATATATATATA